ATTATTATTATTATTATGGACCCTAATGCACCCCAAGTCCTGCTCCTACATGTTTGTCTCCTGCCCCATCCCAGTTTAGGAAATGTCTCCCTCTCTTTCTCCCTTTTTGCTGGAGATCTGCCTTTTGGATCTTGCAAGGTGATGGATCCCTTTTAAAAAGGGGGATCTCATTTGCAGCTCTTCCTTTCCAAAAGAAGTATTGGGGTTTGGGAAGGGGGCAAAAGCGATCCCTCTCATTCCACACTCTTATTGCCCTGCCTTGTTTGGGTTCTCTTGCCCAGCCTATAGATCTCAGGCATCTGATGGATCCCTCTCCTTTAGGGATCAAATTGAAGTGTCAGTTTAAAGGAAAGATCAATTTTCAATCTGGGATACTAATAGCCTTAATATTTCCCTAGACTCACAAGAGAAGCAAACCATTGTGATCTGGGAGGGGAAAAAACCCTTGACATTGCTTCCTTTATGATCTAGGGGCACCTCGAGATCTAATCCAGATCTTGCCGCCATCATATCTCTTCTAGGATTCCCTTCCTCCCCATCCCCTCCGGAATCCCACTTTCCCGGGGTTCCCCCACTCTGCTTTCCCCAAGCAATCCCCTCACGTGTCCCCCTAGCCGGCTCAGCCACGTGCAAAGTTTGTTTTCCCCTCTGGCCCCGCCCCTCGCATCGCATTGGTCGGTTCCACTATCATTAGCCTATCAGGCACGCCTCCTTGGGGTGACGTCACCATCCAGGAAGAACTGAGAAGGTTCGATTCTTCCCAGCGGGCGGAGCTTCCTTCGCACGGAGGGACCAATAGGGAGGCGAGGGGCGGGGCAAAGCGTGATGGGCGGGGCTTGGGGGAAGCAAGGCACCACGTGCGAGGGGAAACACGTGGAAGCCAAAGCACTGACCTGCCAACCTTACAACCTCCTTTTTAAGTCTAGATCTTTTGGAAGTAATATTCAAAATCTGTACCCACTGCATCTGAGCACGTGCAGAGGGCTTATCATTCAAACAAAACTGGAGCATTGGGATTTTAAAGGCCGAATTAAGGCTACTGTTGTTTACATATGTACAGAATGGGCTTTGTTTATGCCCAGAATGATTTTTTTAAATAATTAATTCAGAGTAGTGCCTCTGAGCATGTGCAGGGAGCCTTCCTTGTCATTGTGTATTTCTGTATGGGACAGGTTTGGACTGAATGGCCCCATTGATCTCTTCCAACTCTTGTGTTTCTATTATTCCGTTTTCTGGGAAGAAGCTAAAAGCAGTGAAGGACCTAATAGTCTCTGAGCATGTGCAGAGAGCCTTCCTTATCATTGTGTATTTCTGTATGGGACAGGGTTGGACTGAATGGCCCCTTTGATCTCTTCCAACTCTTGTGTTTTTATCATTCCTTTTTCTGGGAAGAAGCTAAAAGCAGTGAAAGACCTAATAGTCTCTGAGCATGTGCAGAGTGAATCCCARTACTGTMGAAYTGGTCCATATAGTGCAGATATGGGCAAACTCRGGCCCTCYGRGTGTTTTGGACKTCAACTCCCACWATTCCTAACARCCTCAGGCCCTTTCCTTTYCCCCYTCAGCTGCTTAAKTTSTTCAGTACTGGGATTCACTCTGCACATGCTCAGAGACTATTAGGTCWTTCAYTGCTTTTAGCTTCTTCCCAGAAAAAGRAATAATAGAAACMCAAGAGTTGGAAGTGRTCAAGGGAGCCATTCAGTCCAACCCTGTCCCATGCAGAAATACRCAATKACAAGRAARGCTCTCTGCACATGCTCAGARRCACTGMACTGAGTTAACTAAGYRGCTGAGGRSGRAAAGGAAGGGGCCTGAGACAGTTAGGAATTGTKGCAGTTGAAGYCCAAAACACCCRGAGTTCCCAAGTTTGCYCATGCCTGATATAGTAAATAACAACAGTAGTAAWCATACTAYGTTTAGATTGCTAGAGGCAAGTTYTTTTTACTCACACGGAAGTCATTTGTAGCCTAAGATGCTGTGGAATCCRAAAGCCTCCCTCCWAGCATTGTAAACAGTAGCCAAAATAAAGGCRCATTYCTGATTGTGCTCCATSTTTCTGGGTGTATGATTCTACCTCTTACTATGGCCATCTGTCRGGGGTGCTTTGAATGCARTTTTCCTGCTKCTTGGCAGGGGGYTGGACTGGATGGCCCATGAGGTCTCTTCCAACTCTATGATTCCTGTAAATGGTACTTATTTTGTGCAGAACTTAAGTAGAGAGTTTTGRCACAATTCTTCCCATTCTGTTTGACTGAATAGTATCTGTCTGCTTCTAAGAACAAAAATAATAATGTAGTGGTGATGAATAGTGGGACAGATGTCAGGTTTCTCTGGTGAGGATGATGTCTGAGAGAGGAGGAAGGTGAGAGAGATGTAGTTTGCATTTGCTTTGCAATGATCTTGTGTAGGGAAATTCTGTAAGTGGAATAGAATGCTATACATTTCCTCTCCTAAGTATAGGAAAGTCTCCTATAGCCATTTAGTGTGAACTTTGGTACAGCCCAATCCTGGATGTATTT